AAAAAAAAAAGAAGATTAATTATTTCCACATCTCTTTTCAGACTACAGGTCAATATAGAAAAAAAGGATAAACTGAAAAATACCTGAAATAGGAAACTACATAATTACTAAGCACTATGTACAAAAGCCTTGTTTGGTATGTTTTATATCATGAATTATCACAACTGCCATTTGCAAGTGTTATTTTAAACTGTAAGAATTCATCCATCCACAACTGAAGTATTCTTGAAGATTAAGATTAATGTGTCATGAATCACCACGGTTTAATATGCATGACACAGTTTCATTTCACACATATTCTGCATGGGTTGATTGCCATGTATACCAATATCAAACAGATGTTAAATCTTTAATTTTTTTTGCTCTCAGAGTATGTTTTAATTATCTATGAGGCTTCATAAAGAAAAAGAGGGAGGTTATTTTGAAGCAAATTTAGCAAAAAATATAAAAGCAAAATTCATTAGATCTTTTCTTTATTTCATGTTCTCAACAATATTATTTCAACAGTAAAAAAATATATACTTGATATGCAAAGGAACTGCAGACTGCTCTCATTAAATGGCTTATTCCTCGTAAGCCACAAAACTTTGACTATTTTTCCAATAAAATGCATTATTTTAAAAGCCCTGCCAATTCAGCATGAGCTTGGTGATATGAAATGTTTCTGCAAGTCATTGTATGTTTATATTATGCCTAAATTCTTAAATTGGAGTATTTTGCAAAGAAATCAAAACTTCATGTAAAACATTATTATATAAATTATCGCATCAACAGTGCTAAAGTTCCCCTGTATAATCCAAATTAAGTAATATTTGAATATAAAATATTTCACAAGCCTTCACTTTGGAGAGGCCAGAAGTGGAAATGAAAAGACATCCTAGTTTAATTGAGAAAGCTGTTTTAGTCAGCGTCAGCTCTCACTTTCTGCTGTGTCAGATGCAAGCCACAATTCCCCAGGACCAGAAGAGCAACAGAGCCACAGGTCAGGATGAAATAGTGTTGGATAAAACCTCTGAGTTTTAACTAATGCCTAATTTGAGTAGAGCTGTTATTGTGATTTCCATGGAAGTTAGAGCATGTCTCTAGCTTTGGGCCTGATCTTCCTGAAATCAACAGAAACAGGAATGGCTCCCAAGGATTTTGCACTAGAATTAGTTTCACCAAGCTGAAACAGTCTCCAGGTTGAAAATTACAATTACCAAAACTGTTACAAATAATAATAATGGCAGTAGAAGTGTATATTTGAATCATATATCTCAATGTTAGATAGTATAAACACAGATAAAAAATAGTTGTAGACAAAATATTGTCAAAACGAAGATATTCAGTCCCTCCCTATGTCATAGAGATTTTTTTGTACACAGTAATATTTTCAACACCATAACAATTATTTAAATTTCTTGCCTATATAGCACATACTGACATAAGATGGCATACAGCTTTAAAATCAAAACGTGAAGTGACATTTTGAAAAATATCTGACAGTTATGGCATAAGAGTGCAGTGACCTCTGTTCTTCAATATTCTCTTTTTCTGTATTCTTTTTCCAAATGCCCAAATAAATGCAAGGTGCCCAGAAACAAAATGTATATTACCAGTGACATCATAATTCCAAAGAAGTCAAAATCACAATATTTTCACTGAACTTACTGGGCCGAGGAATTAATCTAAAATGTGAAATTTATACACATCACTCAAAACACTTGTGCAGGTTTCTGAAAACATAAGCCTATCAGATTGTAGGGAATTAAGCTTGCATTCCTTGTTCAACCAAAATTCCCTGACTGGAATAACAGCTTTAGATGTTTTTTTTGTTCACATTCTGTTTTACTATGTTAAAACACCAGATTTTTTTTCTTTTTACTTAAGATAAATGTGTGAAAGTGCCTTCTTTCCATTCATAGATGTTATCTTCCTCAAACTTCAAATGATTCATCTGGGTGAATGTAGTTATAAATAATTTATCAAGATACATACCAGTTGTTAGGGGGAAAAAAAAACCCCGAAGGAAGAATATCACTGCATAAAATATGAACATTAAAACTGATTTTTTAAAATCAATCTTTAATTGGTTTTATTACCTCCTAATCCAGGTCTGAGGCGATTATCATAACCATCCAGAAGTCTGTCTAGAATTCTTGTAAAGATGGTGATGTTATTCTTAGCTTCATCTTCCAGGGAGTCAGCCAGTACTGATCTAAATGGATATTTTACATTTTAGAAGGTGCTAAGTATACTTTAACATACACTCAACATGCATTTTTTGGGGGGGCTGGCCTTTACTTGCTGCATTCCAACAGGAAAGGTGTATTTAACAATGTATCAATACACAATTTCTACATAACAAGTTCAGACATGTAAGGGTCAACAGCATACTATTAAAATATCCGGGAAGTAATTTTCCAGTAGCCTCTACTTGTAGGCATCATTGCATTATTGTGACTGCTACTTCAAGCCCCACTAACACTGTTAGTAGAGGCTGTGCTGGTGCAAAACCCTAGAAGAGCTTCCCAGGCTCTGCTGGCAAGTCACTCCTGGGCTGATAACCTGACATCTCATGCACAAACCCATCTCCTTCCAGCTCTAGCTTATCTGTCCTCACTTATACATACTCTATCTCTGGATAAATCCTGTGGATTTGCCTCCACCCAATGGTCATGTAATGTACATGACCAGACGAACTAACATGAGGGAAAACTCCAGCGATCATGCTCAGGGAGTCCTCTGACGCCAGCAGTTGGTGGGAGGAAACACCAGTGCTGACTAGCAAGCTGCAGGATAGCTGTGGACAGCCTTCATCTTTCTAAAACGCTATTTTGTCATAAAAAACACTATCTGATATTCCATTAGATGTAAACATTATAAAAGTTGGATGGAAAAAGGAATCATAAATGAAGTATCAAAAAGAATCTGTAGATCACCGATTGTTTCAAACTTCCCCAATAAAGAAAGAGACATTACAGCCTTTACAGATCAAATCTCTGTGGGACATGCTATAGGGGCTGGAATATGAACTAGCTGCCCAGCCAGCCGTGGTGCTCCACCATCCTCTGGAACCTGTGGACCAACAGGGTTTGTGATAGGGAAACCCTTACACACAGAAAGCCTTACACATGCAAATATTATCGTGCCAAAAATTATAAGCATTATGCATGTGAAATACATGAGCTCCTCAGTCTTATCTACTTAAAACCAGCATATTGGTATTAAGGAAGTAAAGCATCATATGCTACACACATTACCATTTCCACCTTTTTCAGCTACCTAAATTTTTAACCCTAAATGTTTGAGTATTAATCATCTCAAAATGAAGACATTCTGAATGCCATAATAGCAAGCATGTTTTCCTCCTCCTCCACCAAACCAAAAGTAGGTTTGGGTGATATTTTCTCTAAAGCAAGCTATAAAAGGATTAAAGACAAGGCTGTATGTTGGTCCCCAGCTCAATAGCATAAAGAAGTATTTAAATGTAAATCATTGCAGTCTGTGCTTTCCATCATATAAACCACAGAACTGACCCAAATTAGATAACTTATAAAGAACCCATGAAAATGTCATGTGTGATTTTACTCATGTGTAACTTTTTTCTTAGTTGAAATTACTGGATGGTTCCTTTTCGGGTTGTAAAATGTATCATTGTACTCATGGATTACCAGAGAACATCTCTGCCATTTTTAAGCTTCTTTTTGAGATACAACAGTTTTTGAACTCAAGATTCCACTAAAAATATTAGATCAATACAATTACATCAAATTAGGGTCAAATCTTGCAAACTTTACTCAGGCATAAAGTCTTTAATAATGCCTATAGTCTTTTTGACGTCACTGAGATTACTCACTTGAGTAGGGTTTGCAGGATCTGGCCCACTGTGACTCAACTAATACTGCACCATAGTTAGGTATAAAGGGAAATAGAAAACATAGTTTCACTGGGAAACAAACAAAAATATTGGAGACTTGTTAAATCATAAGAAACTTGCATTATATAGCATACAATCTTTACCATATTAGGACAAGACCTACTGCAGCCACAACCAAAGCAAGTAAATCAAAGTTACAAACTACAATTAATTATGTGTTTTGGGACTGTGAGCAACACAAAAATATAATGTAATAAAAATTACTTGCTCTTATGCTGTTACTTTAGAAATTGAAAACTTTACACAACATAAGAAAAGTTGATTAATAAATGATGCTATTGTTTTATTATATGTGATTGTGAAGTTGTATGCTATCTCCACCTAGAGGTTTAAGGCTTAAGCATCATTTTGAATTCTATTATGTTTGACCAAAAAAAAAAGTCAAGAAAAAAAAAAAAAGGCATCCCCATATTAATAAATATATGAGCATTATTTTAAGGACAGTGATTCGCACTGTGACTTCATAATAATCTATTTCTCCATTTTGTATGGTACAGAATCACAGTCATACAGTAACTCAAATCTTTAAGATCCAAAAAAGCATTTAAAGAAATTGTTATTTTAATGGTGGAATAAAGCATCAATTCACAAACCATTTAAAGATAAGACATCAGGCTTTTATGGTCCCTAAACTACATTCTATTGCATCTGTTCTCGAAACTATGTAATACTGCATTCAAACAGCTAAGAAAGATTTTTTTTATTACGTTACTACATACTGTACTTTTATAACCCCTCACACAAGCTTACCCTTAGCAGATTTTAACATATGTGTTCACAGTCAACAACAAAACTAAATGTCCTCTCACCTTGTTGGTAGCCACACCAATAAAACGAGAAGAACCAACTGCATCTCGGAGAGTGCCAGCTTCCTCTTCATCGCTGCTCTTTGCAAAACCTAACGGTGCAAGAAAAACACAAACCCACTCTCAGCCACAGTCAGTCTCCGCCAAGCAATGCTTTCAACTTAAACCCGAGGAAAATATGTCACTTCACTGGAGAAAGGAAACCACTGGATTTCCGCAGCACTTTTCAGTACTAGCAACTTATTGTATCTCCATCTTTCCCAACGATCCTGCTCTGTGCAAGGAGGCAATGTATGATCAGAAGTGGCATGTGAGCCGGCGCATCAGATGCTTTCCTGTTCCGTGATGTGAAAGCCCCGAGACGAAAAGGAACAAAAAATAAAAACAGTACGTATGGGAGGATGGGGATTTAACCACCCCTCGCCTCACTACGGCACACCGCAGCCGGGGGGGGCGGGGGGGCGGGCGGGAGGCAGAGTCATGCCATTCGCCGGGGCTCGGTGCGGGGACCGCGGGCGAGCCGCCCCCCGTCGCCGCCGAGCGCCCAGCACGTTTGACAGCTGCTGGCAGAGCACGGGCGGCCGCCGCCAGGGGAGCGCAGGGGGGCGCGGGGCGGCAGCAGGGGCAGCCCCGCAGGGTGACAAGTTGCGGAGCGCAGCGGAGCCCCCGACACGGGCAGGCACTGCCCGCCGCGGCTGGGGAGCCCCGGGGACCCTACCTGGGAGCAGCGGCGGGCGAGCGGCCGAGGCGGGGAGGGAGGGGAGAGGGAGGGAGGGAAGGAAGGAGGGAGGGGAGGCGGGCGCCGCCGGCGAGCGGGGCAGGCGGCGGCGGGGAGCGCGGGGCGGCGGCGGCGGGCGCGGCCGGGACCGAGCGCCCCCTGAGCGGCGGGCGCGCGCGCGCGTGCCCGCGCGTGCCGGGGCGCGGGGCTGCCCCGCGGGGCCGTCACGGGGCCGCGCCCGCCGTCCCCGCGCCCCGGCCGGCGTGGGCACGGCATGTGAGCGGTCCCCGCCCGCGGGGCAGCGGCACCGGCCCGGGTCGGGCACGGCATGTGAGGGGTCCCCGCCCGCGGGGCACCGGCACCGGCCCGGGGCGGGCACGGCGAGTGAGGGTTCCCCTCCCGCGGGGCACCGGCACCGGCCCGGGGCGGCTGCCGCGGCCTCGGAGCCCGGAGCGGGCGGGCGCGGCAGCCTTGCCGGTGCGCGAACGAGAAACGGGGCGAAAAGCACTCCCCAGACCGGTACAACACATTTTCCGTAAGCCTCCCTCCTCAGCCTCTCAATCGCCTCCGGTCAAGGCGCGTTGGCCGGGCACAGCCGCGGCAGCCGCGCCGCTCTCCCCCGGACTGCGGCGGGAGCGGGGAGCCGCCAGCCCCGGCTCCTGCCTCATTAACATTCCCTTCCCCGCTTGCCCACTGGCACAGTCTAATTGGAATGCAGAGGGAAGTCTATCATTTAGTGTGAGCCCAGGATGAAGGCAGACAAGAAAACAAACCTCGCTTGTATTTTTTGCCTTTTTCTCCCCTCAAATTGCATTACTTTCTGTTGTATTGTCTTCTAAAGCACGTTGCCCTCCTTTCATACATGCATTCCTTCTCTGGTCGTAATTGGATCGCTGCTGGGACTCATTCTCATTGATTTCAGGTTTTCCAGTACAAGTAGAACAGGACAGGCTTAATAATTAAAGATAAGGGTTTATATTTAGTGTACCCTCATTTTGCATTGTTAACTCAGAAATAATTAAATAACACTGGCAATAATATTTCAGCCTCTTATTTTTGCATTTTAAACCAATCCTCATCTATCTCCTTTCCTTTCAGTCTCTTTAACTGCCCAAAGCACCATCTCAATTATCCTCTCTTAATGTCACCGGCCATCCTATTGTGTTTAACTGAAATTATTCTGATGAAGTTCGGTCCTTAGTCAATAACAGTTCCAAAATGAACATGTGAAATAGGATGCATGGACACGGGGCAGGGGGGGATAGGAACAGGAGAGGGGAAGGAAAAAGAAGGGAAGGAGAAAGAAGTAGGAAAATAAAAAGAAAAAAATTCTTCGTTTACCTATACAACTGGGATGTTCCTGCTTCCAAATTGTTGCAGTTTGCAATTAGAGGTGTCTTTGTTTCCTTCTCCTTTCATGGTTTAATGACTCCACAGTAGAAGATGAGAAAAAAAAGAAGGAAGAAAAAAACTTGGGCAATCAAGACAATTTGCTCCTTCCAACTTTGAGATATTTTGTAACTTGGAGTAAGACTGAGAAGAGAGAAGGAATAAACAGGATGTCTTTGTTTTAGAATAACCAGTAAAATGACAGCCCAAACTGTGGAAAATGACAAAGATAAGGATACAGGACCAAAAACCTAAATGTGAAAAGCACTCTTTCAGCAGCCATCTGAGCCTGGCTGTGTCTAAGACACAAGGCCCTCATCTCTCCCTGCCCAAATGTGAAAATGTACTCTGTTCATTGTTAGTTAGGTATCTATGGTCGATCGAAAGTCTTCTTTGGATCTGCCTGTAAGACCCACGTATTAGGAATTAACAACTGATACTAGATGCAGAATCAAGCCTCTCAGTAAAGAAAACTAGTTTTAACTACTTATCCTAAGAAAAAGTGACTTCGCTTACATCAAAATGGAGGAGGAAAAAAGAATCACTGAAAGTGAAGCCTTCATGATTTATTCTGATATGAAACACCTTATGTAATCCAAGCAGAATGGGTTTTTTTCCCACAGATATTCATGGCATTCCTTCTCAAAACACACTTCCAGTAATAATAATACTAAAGCTATAATCTAATTTTCATCTATAAGTTGCATCAAAAAAATAAAAAAACGTAGTCATTAAGGAAAGCACTCACAGTGGCTCCTTGTTTCTGTGATAGCACATTGTCATTCTTCAATGGCCACAAAGGGTAGGAATGTATTTATAATGAGCTTGTGCTCATAGACTTTCCCAAGGAAAATGTGCTGGTTTTTAGGCTCTAATCACAATTACCCATTATGTTCTTTGAGATTTTCATGCACTGAAGTCATGCTTCAGGTCTAAAATTTTAAAATAACCCCTCACACACATTTTAAACAAGTTGCACAGGCCCGTGAGGCATCCCAAATCAGAGGAAAGCTGAGTAGAGGGACAAACTACTATGGCAATGTGAAAAATTAGAGGCAATATAATTACTAACAGAGAGAAGGGTTTTTCTGCTAGACTCACATACTTACAACCTGTGCTGCCAGTGAACAGGGAAGTATTTGGGAAGAAAACTGTGGTATTTCTGAGCTGCTATTGTTTTGTTGGGTTACATGCAAGCATAGCTCAAATGTGTCAGCTCTAGGTGGTTAGAAAAAGTGTGCTTGAGCCCCCTCAGGTGCACAGTCAGCAGGGAAGCCTTCTTCCTTTCTGCATTATTATTTGTGGTTTGGTATCGAATGCTGTCATTCATTACTGAATTTCAATTAACACTAAGTTATATGTGGCATCCAACATGTCACCTGGGTTTGTGAGACTCTCCTGAGTCCTGATGCAAGCACCCTGGAAGGTGGGGAGTCATGCCTTTGGTTTGAATAGGACTTGAAATAGTCCACAGAAAGACAGAAGGTCTACAAATTGTTACTTTCAAAGTATAAATAAAATATTTTACTTAAAAGGCTTTATTTCTTTTGTGCTATATTTGCTGCAATGTATAAATAGAATTCAATCCCTATTTTGATATTTTAAAAATCTTAAAAACAAAGAAAGGACCTTACAATCCTATTATCCTTTGCCAAGGATCTCAAAACTCCACACAGGCTGATAAACGATGTTTCAGAATTCTTTTGTGAGATTGGAATGACTTCCTCTGTGAGCACAAATTGAATAGCAGGGTAGGTGTGTGACATTTCATAACCACTTCTTAGAGTTTAGAGGTAATAGCAACACAGGAGAGGTTAAGCCAAGGCCTCAAGTCATTATCCAGACTGCAAAACACTAGATTGAATGCTTCCCTTAAAACTGAGTTTAAAAGAATCATTTATATGACAAAGTTACACCTTTCCTCAGACAAAATAAATTACTCAAAAGCAATACCCCTGATTTGTAGCCGCTAGGGAGGTCACAGTAAGCATTTTCTGTCATGGACATAATCAAGTAATGCAAAACAGAAAATACGTTATTCTGATCTGGGCACATTCTGCAGTATAACATTTCCAGAAAAAAATTTGGCAGATTGAGGTAATCAGCATTTACTTTGTACTGCTTGAGAATAATCTCCACCCTTATATCTAGGCCAGCAGCACTCTGAGCTGTAAGGATATAAACAATAATCACTGGAGTTAAATGAAATTATGCATATGTGTGAAAATTGAAGTGATATGTCAGAATTTTTTGTATGTGATAACTGGAATTTTTTTAGTATAGATAATGCTTTTTATAAACATCCTTACCTCTAAAAGGGATATGATATTCATTTTTTGATAGACTGTTTCATCCTTCTAAAATTTCTATTTCAATTAATTAAATAGTTAAATATAAGTTCAAGTGTTTGAGATATATATCCAAGACATAACCTCTGTAACATGTAATTTTAAACATGTATGTTATCCTACTTCTGTAAATAATGATGAAAATAAAATGTTGAGGAGGGGAATAAATTTTTGACCCTAGACTGGCTCATCATACAGGTACATGAGAAAAAAGAAGGAAGAATCTGGCTTTTTTCAGGAGCCCCCTAAAACAAGGATGGAAATCAGATTTCTGTAAGAAGCCTCAGGTATCCAAAACTCCTCCTCTTTATGCAAAATTGCAGCACAAATTTCTCAGAGTTTAAATCATTTTGAGATGCACCATCCAATACTAGATGCTACTATAACAAGGAAACACAAAAAATCGTACTTTATGCAGTACCCACCATTGTAAGGGTCTGAGCAAGTCAGAGTTTTCAGTTTGACTGTGTCACTTATAGATTGGGAAGGGTTTCTGTGCTTGTTGAAAAGCTCTAGCTATCAGAGTCTTCCTGACTGAAGAGCAAAAGCAAAGGGCCAGTGCCAGCTTTATTTCAGCTGTGTGTAATCGGCTTTGAGTTGCTTTCCACTGTGCACTGACAAGTTCAGCAGAACAGGAAATTGAAATGAGCTTTCCCACCTTAAATATTGATGAATGTTTCTTTCTCAGGATTATATTTTTCCCAGATTTGAACTTTAAATACCACATGAGGATTTTTAGTTTTCTCCAAACGCAAAGATATCTACAGAAAGAGTGAGCAGAGAGTCTTTGCTGTCTATCAGGAGAACTGAAACTTTCCTCATCCTTTTAGAGTAGACCTTCCTTGGTGGGAGAAATGTAAGACAAGTGACAGAGGGCAATGTAACATCTTTACCAGCTGACTAATCACTCTTGGTCTGAGTTGAGAGGAAGA